AGGCCACCACTGGGGTGTCACCCCCCCCCGGACTGCACAGGACCCGCCTTCCGTGGGAGGGGACGGATGGTGCTGTACACGAGGCTCCTTCTTGCAGAATGTCCCTCAGGACAGAGGGGGTTGAGCGGCCCCACATGGGCTCAGGGGGGCCACCCATGGGGAGGGGCCCAGGTCCCTGTCACCCCGGGCAGCGGGACTCCCTCCCCAGCCCCACCCCGGCTGGGAGCAGCGAGGCCACCGCACCCCGGCAGCACTGGGCTCCTGCCCCAGGGCTGGGGGACACCCTCCCCCACCCCAACGTCAGCCTGTCCATCTCCGTCACGGCACAGACCCGTGTCTGTGTGTGTGTGTGGTCACCAGGCGGTTCCCCTCGGTGACTGTCCCCTGCGTGTCCCGGCAGGATCAAACCTGGACAGGACAGCCCCAAACCCCTTATCAACTAGGAAGAAAACGGGGTCCGGGCTGTGTGGTCCTCAGAACTCCTCCTCTGGCCCAGAAAAGGAGGCACCGGCATCAGACGCGGCAGAACCAGCGCCCGGGGCCTCGAAGCACAGCGGCCCGGGCCCCACAGGGCGCGGGGGCGGCACCGTGAGCCGGCGGCCGCGTGGAAGAGCCGGACTCTGGGTGCAGAGGACTTGCAGTCAGACCCTGCCCTTCCACTCCTGTGGACGCGACCCCCGGCTGCAGGCCCTGGCCGGGGCACCCTGCGAGGGCTGCCCCGTGAGTGCTGTGCCACACAGGTGAGGAGCAGCGCTCTGTCCCGACCGGCAGCCTCGTCACCCCCAGGGGCCCCCTGTCCCAGCGTCTCGGGGACGTGGTGGGGCCTCCCGGCACGCACGCACACAGCTCGTGCACGCTGGCCCCTGCGACCCGGCTGTGCCAGGCCTGGGCAGTCACTGGGGCGGGCAGGGGCGCCTGCGGGGACCGAACCACCCAGGCGTCGTGCGGCTGGGGGAGGGGGGGCACTCCTCGAGATGGGCGGGACCCTCCCGGCCCGCCCGTAGGCGCCCGAGGACCGACAGGACTTCCCAGGCAGGCGGAGGCTCTGAACGCCAGTCGGAGAAAGGACCCCCAGGCCCAGAGGCCACGCACTGCCCGCTGGGCGCCCACCGCAGGGCCCCCGCTGCCCTCGGGAGTCTGGAAGTCACCCCTTAGGGATGGCGCACAGTCTCCCATCAGGGCCTGCCTTCCCACCCCCAGCCCCACACTCTTTCCAGGACGCCACGTGAGCACGAGGGACGGGCAAGGCCAGCCTCACTTGCCACCCGCCTGGTCCTGCGGTGACATTCTTGGGCTCCAGGACCCAGGAACCCTGGCACGGCGCTGGACACCACTCTGACCCGGGGCCTGCAGTGCACACGGGTCAGTCCCAGGAGCCCCCGGCCACCCCAGCCCAGCACGTGTGCCCCAGGCAGGGCCCGGCGGGGCCCGGCCAGCACTCCATGGGGCCACTCGCCCACTGGGCACCCTGAGCCGCCCGTCACAGCCCCCAGCAAACACGGGGGCCTGCAGCAAGGACCCAGGTCCCTGGGGCCAGCGCTCCTGGGACCGCCGCGTGGCAGGGACGCCACTGCCGCAGCACGGGCCGTGGGGTGGGACGCGCAGTCAGTCCACGTGGGCACAGCAGGCCCCACCATCCTGTCAGGAGACGCCCCCCCAGTGGGGCCTCCCTGGCAACACCTCTGAAGCAGGACGGAGCACCACACGTACGTGCACACCCACGCACACCCACGCACTCCCACGTGCCTGCTCACGCACACGCACGGGCACAGACTGTGCACACACGCCCGCGAGCACAGCTCCCACCCGCGCACCCACGCACCCGGCGCTGGGACTCCTCCCCTCCTTCGCGGGCAGGCACGGGCCTGCTCCGCCCGGCAGGCGATTCCCTTGCCAAGGAAGTGCCTGTCAGAGGCCCGCCCCCACCGCCCCCACTGCCTCCACCACCTCCAGCCGGGCCTGTGGAGCTCTGACCGCCGTGCACGCCGGGCCGCTGACGGCTGCCAGCAGTGACACGTGGCTGCCCGGGCGTGGGCCTTGGGGGGGAGCGCCCGAGGTCAGCAGCAGCGGGCTTGGAGGCCCCACCCGGAGGGGGCGGTGGAGGGCGGCAGCAGTGGGCAGGGGCTGCTCGGCCGGGCCTGGCTCACAAAGGACAGCGGTGGGCTCTCACCTGCCCAGGCGGGCCCCCTCCTGCCAGCGCCGCTGGCCACCCCGGGACGCCCTCCCCCGCCGCACCGGAGGTGGTGAGCCCACCAACTCCCAGCCGCAGCGACCTGCGGGCACCCGCCACCCGCATGAGGGGCCGCACCGCGGCCAGGCCCACCTCCCCACAGAAGCTGCAGGGTAAGGACATGGCACTGAGAACAGCCGTCCTCCTCTGCTGTCCCCCGCTGTGTCCTCAGGACAGGCTGAGGCCTGTGGCTCCATGTTCCAGAGAACGTGCCGGAGCTGCCTCCTCCCGGGGCCTCGGGTCACTTGGGAGCCAGGCTCCTCCCGGGACACAGAACAGCCAGCATGGCGCCCACTCGACAGTCCCCTGCGGAACCCCTGGAAGATGAGCTCTGCTCCCGGGGAGCCCCTCTCCGGCACCTGGGGACACTGAGGGCCTCTCCCAACACGGCCGCAGTGGCGGCTTCATTCTGAGCCGTGGCTGACCACCCCGCACACGATGTCCCGGCCCCAGGCAATGGCCCGGGGCTGCCCGGGGCCGCGCCCGCGGCCTCCACGCTGTCCCCTGGTGAGTCTGAGGCCAGTTCTCAGGGGCGACCGGGAAGGCAGTGAGCTCCTGTCCCCTGTGCCTTCCACGAAATCCCCCGAGGACTCGGGTCCCAGGGGAACTGGGCCACAGGGAAAGAGGACAACGTCCTTGTTACAGGTCCTTCCAGGGAGAAAAGCCCAACCGTACAGTTTATTCTCGTGTTTCAGGCAGCAAGGCCAAGGCCGAGAGCCCCCGCTGCCCTCCTCTGCCAAGGCAAGCGCCTCTCAGAACTGCGGGCCACGAGATGCCAGCCCGAAGCACCCAGCCGGGCTGCAGCTCGGGTGCCACCGAGCGGGGCCACGTCCCGGCCTCTCTGCCGCAAGCCACCAGCTCAAGCACCGAGGCAGCGCCATCCCCGGACAGGACAGAGGACCTGCCCGACTGGCCCGGGGCCGCACACACAGGTGGCTCAGGCTGCGCCCCGGCTGTGCCTTTGTGGGGGCTGGTTTCTGCCAGGCCCGGGCGCCGAAGCTGCCCAACCTGTGTACCGGCTCTGCTGCTGGAGGACCTGGCGCTCCCCGGCGACCGCGCAGAGAGGCACCGAGGACCGGCAGGAGGAAGCGCAGCCCAGCCCAGCCGGTCCGTGGAGCAGAGCGGGGCCAGGGCACAGGAGTCGCCGGCCACCACACGGACACCGATGCCGGGGGACGTGCACCCCAGCCTCCCCGTCTGCGCTCAGAAGAGCTCCAGGTCCCTGCACACCCTGTCCTGACACCAGAGTTCCCGTCGGGCTCCAGACAAATCACGGCCACACCGGGAGCCGCTGGGCCGTGACTGCACGCCGCCGGCCGCGTGGCCCTGGCGTGCCTTCCACCGAGGACGCCCGTGGGCCCCTCGGAACTCTCGCCGGGACAGTTCCTGTTCCGAGGTCTCCGTGCAGAAGCCGGGAAACTAGGAAGCGCAGCCCCCGCCTGGCGGCACTCCTCCCCACCCCTGCAGGGGGAGCAGGTCGTAATGGAACTAGTGACTAACCACTGAATAAGCCTCCTCCCCTGACAGCGCTCGCCGAGCAGCGAGACCAGGAACGCGCGCTCGGGCACCCACCCGGCGCTCCGGCCCGCCGCGGCCCCCGACGCCGCCTGTTTACCAGCAGCTCCAACATGGCCTCAGGACTGACCCCGGCCACCCCCGCCGGGCCTCGGGGTCCTTCCAGGCGACCTCGCTGCAACTTCAGGAGCTCTCCGGGGGCTGCTGGGTGACAGTGCAGCCCGCCCTCCCGGCTCGCGCCGGAGACACAGGGTCGCCGGAAGCCTCCCTCCGCGTCCTGGGCCAGGGAGCGCGCAGCCGGCCTGGCGGGCCACCGGCCGAGAAGCCATGCTTTGCTTAACGCGGGTAGAAACTGTTGCTCGGCCGGCGCGCCGCAATCCCGCTCGGCCTCCGCGAGCCGGCCGCGGCCGCGTGAACACCCGCTGCCCGGCCCTCCCGGCCCACCACGTAACCTCCAGACACAGTTTCAAAACACGGCGCAGCTCCGTCAGAAGACGCGCGGACCGCCCGAGGCGAATCTCCCCGGCGGCGAGAAGGCGTCTGGAACTGCAGCGGGCCCGAGCCGCCCAACCCGCCCGGTCTGTTCGGCGGGGGGCGGGGGGGTTGCCCCGAGGAGGTGCACGCGGAAGACACAGGAGCCCCGGGGCCTGGTAACGGGGGCCCGAGGCGCTCCGCCGACGGGGAGGGCTGCCCAGGGGGGCTCCCCGGCCACTTCCCGAGGAAGGCGCGGACCCGGACTCGACTCCGCGCGCACACCAGCGCGAAGGCAGGCGCGCCAGCCTCCTACACAATTAGTCTCCTCTCCCCGCGGTTACATAAGACGATGGATTATCTGCTCGCCCATCCAACCTGCCCGCGCGACCTCCCACCTGGGCCACGGCCCCTCGTGCCCGGCACGGAGTTGGGCAAGCAGAGAGAGAAATAGCCTGTTGAGAAAAAGTGCCCGGAGGCCGGAGTCGCCGCGCCCGCGGGGCCACCGCTCCAACCGGGGCAGCGCGGCCGGCAGCCGCGGGCATCGCAGCCCTCGGCCCCCGACCGCCCCCGCCGCCCCGGGACCCGCGCCCCTCTCCACTCCGTCCCGGGCGCGACGAGGACGCGCGGGGGCAGCGCAGGCTGGCGAGACCGGGGGCGCCCGCGCACACCTGTGACCGGCGGAGGCCGGGTCCCCGCCGCCGCCGCCGCCGCGCCGAGAAGACCCCTGCGGGCCCGGAGCCGCCAGGCGGGGCCCGAGCGTGCGGGCGGGCGCGGGGCTCACCTTATAGACATTTTCCGTCAGCCGGTGCATCTCCTCCGAGCGCGACAGCGACATGGTGCTGGTCCGGCTGCACCACGGACCGAAGCGGGGGCGCAGGTAGCGGAGGCGGCGGTGGGGGCAGAAGAAGCCACCGAGAAGGTCGACAGGCTGCGCGCGGAACCCGACCAGGAGCGCGGCGTTCCTCCGGCCGCTACCTTTATAGGCGCGCAGGCCCCGCCCCCTGTAGGCTCCGCCCCAGAGCGCCCGCCCCCGCCGCGCCCCGATCGCCACCCCAGCAGCCCGCCCCCGCCCAGCCCGCCGCTGCTAGGCAACCTGCAGGCCCCGCCCCCGCGCTTTCCTTCCCATTGGTGGGCTCTGGAGGGGAGGAAAGGGGGCGGGAGAGGAGGGCGGGGCAGAGGAGGCCGGAGCAGGGCAGCGATTGGCCGGTGGCGCTGTCGATCGCAGAGGAAAAGGCGGAGGCGCGGCGCGGGCTGGGGCCCTGGGAACAGCCTGGGGGGGTCCTGGCGACAGCCGGGCTGGGGGCGGGGAGGTGGGGGCGGGGTGGCGCAGGAAGAAGTGAGCGGGAGGTGGGGGTGCGGGCGGCCGAGGCGCACGGGGGCGGCACTTCGCGGAGTGGCGAGTCGGGGCGGCCGGGCCTCCTCGAAGGCGCCGGGGTCTCGGGCTCGTGCTGGGAGGCGAGAGTCCCTGGCCGCTCGGCCGCTGGTCTCGGGGGCTTGGGGAAGGATGGGAGAGGCCGGCGCGCTGCCCCGGCGTCCTTCCCGGCGCTGTAGTGGGTAAGTCCGCGGGGCGGCGGCGACCCCCGGGCCGGCCCTGCTGGGGAAGGAGGGAGGGCGGGCCCCGGCGGAGGGCAGGCTGGGCGCTGAACTCCTGGAGAGGGGTGGGCCCGCGGCGGAGGCGGGTGGCGGAAGGCGGTTGCAGGGAGCGGGAGCGGGAGCGGGGGAGGACTTGAGGGCTCTGGAGTGGGGGCGGGTGTGGGTGGGCAGAAGGCCCTGCAGGGAGGGTTGGGGGGGCCTGGGGACTTCGGTGGGGGCCGAAGGTCCTTGTTGGCTGGAGCTTTCTGGCGGAGGGAGGGTCTGCGGTGGTGCAGGGGGCGGGGGAACCTGGAGAGGGCAGCTTCCTGGACGAGGGATCACGGGGTCAGCGCTGCCTGGGTTTGAAGGAGCTTCCTGGGAGGTTCTGCAGAGGAAGCCGACCCGGGCTGGCACGGTGGGTCCCCAGTGCGGGTCCTTCGCATAAATATTTACACAGATTCTACTAACACGGAGGGACTGTTTACTTTATGTTGTAAAACACAAGGTCTGGATATTTCCTTTCGATTAACCCCGACGTTGTCTGCCCGCATCCCATCCCTGGGACAGTTCTCGCTCATCCCTTCAACGGCGGGCGCCAAGGAGGACTCGGAGACCCGCCAGACAGACAGCAAGGGACTAAGCAAGCCCCAAAGTCACAGCATCCTTGACCTGAGCGGACCTCACGCCCGCACGGGCTTTCCATGGGTGCAGAGGAAAAGAATGCGGTGTCCCGGAAGCAGTTGCCTACCCACTCCCTCCACCTTGAGTCTTGATTCCCTGACCTTTCGGTTTAATTTTCTTCCTGTGGGTTCGCTCCCTGCTTTGTCCTTCCTGCTGCTCTCCGGGTCCTAGGGTAGACCCCAGTGGCAGCAGCTTCCGGGGTTCTTTTCGCTGTGTGTGGTAGCCAGCTGACCTGGCTCGAACAGCGAGGGCGTTAGTGGTCCACTTCCCCTTCCTCGGGGCCAGCTTGAGTCAGTGCACACTTCCACGGGGGCCCATCGACCTGGCGGGGTCACAGGGGAGGCTGAGCAGGTAGAGGAGCAGCTGCTGTCCCAGAGGGAAGTGGGGGGGCCGGGACCAGAAGCGTGACAGGTGACAGGTGGGCTGGTCCCTCTGGGAGGAGAGTCAGCCTGCAGACCCCGGAGGGAGGAGAGGTGTCTCCAGAGAAGCCCCCCGCCCCCCGGTCCCCAGCCCTGCTCCCCCCTTTAGCAGGTCCCGATCCTGACACCCCACCCTGCCCCCGAGGTCGCTCATGCTCAGGTCGGAGACCCCTGCAGAGTCCAGCTTGCCTTCCAGGCGGGCTGACGCTGCGGCCTGTGCCCCCCAGCCGGCGGCCAGGCAGGAGGGCAGCTACAAGGGAAGCCCTCGGGCGGAGGGTACTCACGGAGCACCTGCCACAGGTGATGGGAAAGAGGGGGCCTTGTGCCTCCGCACGGAGGACACGGGCCGGGGCCGAGGGCCGACACAGAGCAGGATGTGGGTGGGGAGCCTCACCTGCCTGGCCCGGAGAGCCCAGCTGAGAAGGTCACCGCCCCGTCTGGTGTCTTCCACGAGCCACCGGCCTCCAGAGAGGCCTCCAGCCTCCAGAGAGGCCTCCAGCATGGGGGTGGGTGTGCCACCCCTCAGCTGCCAGGGGGAGGCGGTCTGAGCCCAGGGCGGGAGAGCAAGAGTACTGGGAGGCCCCTCTCTCCCATGGGAGCCCCTGCAAACGGCAGTGGTGTCTGGGGTGGGGCCGGGCCCCGGGCTGGGAGAGCTTGCAGCGAGGCTTGTCCCGCCTCCCTTGTATTTGGGGGGCGTTCAGGGCCCTTTGTGAGTGCACCTCGTTCCGTGTCACCTCGCCTCGGAGACTGTGTGGGGGGCCGTGGGGTCTAATGAGTCACCTGGACACCCGGAGGTTGGCAGCCAGTTTGACTAGGAAGCCATTGGCAAGCCTTGGGGTCTGGCCACCTCTCCGCGGCCAGCAAGAAGAAGCCACTGTCCCCGTGGGGCGGGGAAGCTCTGCCCTCCCTCCTCCCCCACAGAGACCTAGCAGGAGGGCCAGCGCTGGCAGAGAGCACCGGCCACCAGCGGCCCAGGCCCTCTGTCCTCGCCGCAGACCCGGCTGTTCTTCCTCCCCTCCGTGGGGGTTGCCGGGGGAGGGGGGTGTCTACAATGAGCCGCTCATCGAGCGTCTCAAGAAGCAGGCGGACTGGAGTCTGCTCACCACTCGTTTTCCCTGTCACTTCTGATTGTCAGTCCTCGCCTCAGCGGTGCACGCCGCCGGGGAGGTGTGTCGCCAAGTCGCCCTTCGGTGCAGCCCGGCCCTGAGCCAGAGGGTCCACCTGCCCCGGTGCTCCCGCGGGCGCCTGAGTCCCCGGCGTGCTGAGCGGGGGTCAGGGACGAGAGTCGGACCGCCGGGCGCTGCCACGGGGACCCCGGGTGGGCAACCTGGGAGGGGAGGCTGGAAGCGGAATGCATGGAGCGCTGCATCAGCTTATTTTTAGTCCCGTTATGTAAGTGGCTTCATCTCAACGTCACGTAGGGAGGGGGGTCTCAGATTTAATTACAGGATGACAGCCTTTGCTTTCCGAGCAAGCTGTTCCCCTGGCAAAGCGAGCCCGGGGATCTGCGGATTTCTGCTGAACAGAAGTGCCCTTTCTGAGGCGCCCGCCCGGCCAAACTGAGCCACCGCCTCCCCCGTACCTCGCCGACCGGTCTCGCCCGGCCCGGCAGAGTTTGGCCTTGGGGGCGGCGGCTTGTGGTCACAGGGAGCTGCTCTTCTCCCCCTCCCTCCTCCTGGCAGCCAGCTGAAGAAAAGGATCCGCCCAATCAGAACTCTTCTCCGCTCCCTGGATTAAAGCACTTGTCTTCGGTAACCAGAAAGTTCCAGAGCAGGAAAGACCGCAGGCGCAGAGCGCGTGGGGACAGGCCTGGGGAGCGGGGCCGCGTCTTGTCCTGCTTCGGGCTCTGCTTCCTCCCTCCACGCCAGGTGTTCTGGGTGGCCGGCCGGCCGGCCGGGGGTCGCCGGGAGAACTGGCCGACTTGTGTCCAGGGCACGGTTTCCTGGCGCCCGGCCCGGCCCGGGTTCTTGGTGCTTCCGTGTTGTCATCAGGGAAGCAGGGAGGGGCCTGGGACCTGGAGCGCACAGGTGGGGCGTCCCCTCCTCGCCCCCTGCACACGTGGCTGCGTCCAGGGTGGAAGGCAGGGCCGAGCTCCCGCGGCGGGTGAGGCCCGCAGGCTGCACACAGGCGGGTGTGCTGCCGAGAGCCGCCGCGGGAGCTGGTGTCCGCGCACCGACGGCCAGGAGCCAGGGTATGAGCGCAGGGGAGGCAGCAGGACGGGCCCTGGCCCGTGGCGGCGAGTCCTCGGTGCGTCTCGGCGGCTCGAGGGGACATCACCAGTGGCGCAGCAGACGCCGTGTGGGGCGGCACGCCGAGCCCTCCCTTGCCGGCATCACGTGCCGACTTCTCCAGACAGAGGGGGTGGGAGGGGAGGCGCCGGCAAGCACACCTCCGCCGGGGGGGGCCCGGTCACGGGAACGGCGGGAGCCGCGGCGAGCACGCGTGGCCGTGGTGTGTAGGGAGGGCACTTCCTCCGTGGTGACCCCCGACACCGTCACCCCAGGGCAGCCACCGGGCACGTCCCCTGCCCAGCACGTCACAGCGCTGTCCCGGTCCCACGACGCCGGGGCCGCGGAGGCCACCGCAGCCCGGAGGAGCCCGTGGAGACGCAGCAGGGGCCCTGGAGCAGGAGAGGAACATCGGGCAGAGGCTGAGGACACTGGACTCGAGGGTGGACTCCGGCCGGCAGTGGCGTGTCGGCACGGCGTGCGGGTTGCAACGGGTGCATCACGCTGGCCGAGTTCCCAAGGGGGGGACCGGGTGCTGGGTCGGGTGGCTTTGCCATCATGGAGACGCAAAACTGTCCTGAAGTTGAAAGGCAATTAAAAGCAGGGCACTAGCGGCTGGGACACAAGCGTCTGTTTGGCTTTCGGGTCTGAAGGTCGGGGCCTGGCCTCACCTGCGTCTGGTCCCCGAGGGCTCAGCAGGCGGAGCGCTGGCCTGTCCCCCTCCCCTGTCCCCCCTCCCCGCTCCTGCCCCCCCCCCCCACAGTGAGCCCTGAGGGGAGGGGCCAGCTGCCACCGGGTGTAGTCCCCCACCCCCGTGTCTTACTTGGATCGGCCCTCACCCCTGACCTGAGCAGGGTTCAAGGACTCGCTTCTCTGTGACCAGCATGTCGGCCACCCCGTGCCTCCAGGGACCTGTGCCGGCTCCACCCGCTCCTCATGGGGTTCGGGACCGGGCACCTGAGCCGAGCCCAGCCTGAGGGGGGGCTCTGGGGCTCCCACAGGGGAACGTGGGGGAGTCGGGGTGAGGTCGTGGCCCCTGCGGGC